CGCGAACAGTGGTGGGTAGCGAAAGCAAGAGAGATGGAAAAGGCAGCGGCAATAGGTAATAGCAGACAATTGTTCAGACTCGTTAAGGAAACCGGAATTAGGAACCCGACCGTTAGCGAAACAATCTCAGAGAAAGATGGACATATTATTCATTCTCAATCCAGGAGATTGGATCGATGGGCAGAACACTTTAGGGATCAGTTCAACTGGCCTTCAGCCACACTTCGGTTTCCCACGATCTCCAGTCAACCTGAATGGCAAGTTAATGTAGGTCCTCCGTCTCTTTACGAAGTTGAAAAAGCCATAGGAAATCTGAAACGAGGGAGAGCAGCAGGCCCTGACAGGTTTACTCCTGAGATTTTTAAGGATGGTGGTCCAGTATTAGCAGTGAGATTAACTGAGGTCTTAGGTAGAATTTGGGAACTGGACGTAATCCCATCTGACTGGTCTCAATCACTGATTGTGCCAGTCTATAAGAAAGGACAAAAGTCCTCTTGTGACAATCACAGAGGAATCAGTTTGACTAATATAGTGTCTAAAATATTAGCTTCAATAATACTTCGACGCCTAACAAAGCTCGTGAAGAGCAGACTAGAGAAAACCAGGCTGGTTTTCGACCTGGACGTGGTTGTATAGATCAGATATTCACACTACGTCAGGTTCTAGAACACAGACACACATTCAGACGCCCCACAATGGTAGTATTTCTCGACCTTAAGGCGGCATTCGACTCTGTTGATCGTGAGGTTCTATGGCAGTGTTTGTCACTGAAAGGAGTACCAAAGAAGTACATTAACCTTATAAAGGCTCTCTACTCGAACACAACTGGTAGAGTGAGAGCTTATGGCGAACTGTCATCAGAATTGATTACCTCAAGTGGTGTTCGTCAGGGCTGTCCACTCTCCCATTCTTGTTCAACTTTGTCATTGACGTACTTTTAGAGATAACACTCTCCTCATCTAAATTTCCAGGGGTTGAACTTCTACCGGGAGGTTCACTTGTTGACTTAGAATATGCTGATGACATAGTTTTATTTGGTGAAGACGCTGACAAAATGCAGAGTCTTCTGACCACTCTAAGCAACAATGCAAGCATGTTCGGGATGCGATTCTCTCCCTCGAAATGCAAAATGTTGCTTCAGGATTGGGTTGCATCGACACCCGAACTAATGATAGGGAGTGAAGTAGTTGAGTGTGTCGACCGCTTCACTTATCTTGGAAGTCTCATCAGCCCTTGTGGTCTGGTGTGTGACGAAATCTCAGCACGGATACAGAAGGCTCGACTAGCTTTTGCCAACTTGCGTCATTTATGGCGTAGGCGAGATATCCGTCTATCAACCAAAGGACGTGTTTACTGCGCAGCAGTTCGTTCCGTCCTACTTTATGGCAGTGAAACATGGCCGGTAAGAGTAGAGGATATCCGTAGGTTACTAGTATTTGATCATAGGTGTCTTCGAAACATTGCTCGTATATCATGGGACCATCGAGTAAGTAACACAGTTGTTAGGAAACGGGTACTAGGTAAGGATGGCAAATCAATTGATGACGTAGTGAAACTTCATCAGTTGAGATGGCTGGGACACGTGTTACGTATGCCCAACGACCGACTGCCTCGACGTGCGATGTTCAGTGGTATAGGAGTAGGTTGGAAGAAAGCTAGGGGCGGCCAGACCAAAACATGGCACAAGTCCATGAAGTCACTGACAAGTGGACTGAGTCATGTTGGTAGGTGTAGACTACCTGGTTGGGGACCGCGAGATGATAGCAACCGATGGTTAGAGACCCTGAATGACATGGCTCAAAATCGTTTGCAATGGCGCAGGTGCATACACTCTTTGTGTTCTCCCAAATTTTGATCTCCTTATTCCTCCTTGTCTCTTTTTTTTCTCCTCTCAAATTTATTTCACTGTATTATACTGTTTAAGTAACATCTCCAAATTCTTATTACCTCTACTACTACGTGATTTGAATCGACCACTGCATCTCTATGCTAATGTGGTGTGGCAACTCGAACTGATGTACGTACGTACGAAGTTCTACGCTGTTACTGACTGACTGACTGAGATAGATAGATAGTTAGATAGATAGATAGATGGATGGATGGATAGATAGATAGATAGATAGATAGATAGATAGATAGATAGATAGATAGATAGATAGATAGATAGATAGATAGATAGATAGATAGATAGATAGATAGATAGATAGATAGATAGATAGATAGATAGATAGATAGATAGATAGATAGATAGATAGATAGATAGATAGATAGATAGATAGATAGATAGATAGATAGATAGATAGATAGATAGATAGATAGATAGATAGATAGATAGATAGATAGATAGATAGATAGATAGATAGATAGATAGATAGATAGATAGATAGATAGATAGATAGATAGATAGATAGATAGATAGATAGATAGATAGATAGATAGATAGATAGATAGATAGATAGATAGATAGATAGATAGATAGATAGATAGATAGATAGATAGATAGATAGATAGATAGATAGATAGATAGATAGATAGATAGATAGATAGATAGATAGATAGATAGATAGATAGATAGATAGATAGATAGATAGATAGATAGATAGATAGATAGATAGATAGATAGATAGATAGATAGATAGATAGATAGATAGATAGATAGATAGATAGATAGATAGATAGATAGATAGATAGATAGATAGATAGATAGATAGATAGATAGATAGATAGATAGATAGATAGATAGATAGATAGATAGATAGATAGATAGATAGATAGATAGATAGATAGATAGATAGATAGATAGATAGATAGATAGATAGATAGATAGATAGATAGATAGATAGATAGATAGATAGATAGATAGATAGATAGATCAAATGTCTCTTCTCAGTTGGGCCCGAATGTTATTTTTGTTCTCATGATTTTTTATCTGGCTCTTGATCATCAGATTTAGGTTGATCAAGTAAAATAATTGAAATATATATCTGTATTAATACTGGTGTTTATAACTTCTGGTTGTTTGAAGCTAGCGAGTAGCGTTGAAAAAGAGCTACTTCATCTTCTTTTGTTTCATCAAGGAATAAGTTGTATGGGATAAATCCTTTTTATTATTAGTATACATATATTTTGCATATTAAAAATTAGAGAAGCCCTATAATGGACGAATAGCGACCGGATGTATCATTTGTCTCTTTCATTACAAACAATCGTAAACACTGGATGCTTATTTTACTTGATTATGCCTGTTACCCCTAGCGGAGGAGCGTAGGCTGTCAACCACCGCTCGCTATCCAATCCTGTCCTGAGCAATCCTTTCCAGCTCATTCCAGTTGTTATTCATCCTTTTCATATCTGATTCTATTCCCCGACGTAATGTGTTCTTCGGCATTTCGCTTTTCCGCTTCCCTTCAGGATTCCAAATTAGGGCTTGCCTCGTGATGAAGTTTGACGATTTGCGTAATGTATTTCCTATCAATTTACATCGTCTTTTTCTAATTTCTTCCTCAGCTGGAAGCTGGTTTGTTCTCTCCCACAGAAGGCTGTTGCTGATGGTATCCGGCCAATGGATGTTGAGTATCTTGCGTAAGCAACCATTTATAAATACTTGTACCTTCTTGATGATGGTTGTTGTAGTTCTCCAAGTTTCAGCTCCGTACAGTGGAACTACCTTGACGTTCGTTTTAAAGATTCCGACTTTGATATTGGTTGACAGACAGTTACTTTGAGTTCCGTATATTCTTTAATTTTAAGAATGCGACTCTTACTTTGTCAATTGATTGAACTTAAATGGATGTAGTACTCATAAATTTTATCATACACTATATTCACATTATTAACATTATTAGTCACTACATAATGGCTAGAATTACGTCATATTACAAGTTAAACAATAAGATCAAAATGAATTTTTCGAAATCTGTTAATCTACTGCATATTATTGAAGGTACGTAAATTTGATATTGTAAAGGTTTACATGTATATTTCAGATGGGTTTTGTGGAGATTGTAGTAATTTCAATGGTTAAGATCATGAGTCATTTGAAGCCAGACCACCATGGGAAACCTGGAAACACTGGACGGCCATTTCGTCCTACTGTGGGACTCCTAAGCAGTGAGCATTCATGATCTCGCCCCCTGAGAGATTAGAACCCAGGACCTGCTGGTTTCGCACGCGGGCACTTAACCACTAGACCACTGGACCGTCATCCAACGGTGTTAATGCCTAACTTCAACCAATCCACGAAGTTGCGCCACCGTACATCATTGTCGTCAGTGAGTTACTATCTCACAACAGACCCGGTTGAACTCCACTGGTCACTACTTCTCACTAAAATTCCAGGATATACCTCGTGAAGCCACTCACTAGTGAGCATATGTTGATTAATAACATATAGGTTTTGTGGAGATTGTAGTAATTTCAAGATCATGAGTCAGTGGAGTTCAATCAGGTCTGTTGTGAGATAGTAACTCACTGATGACAATGGTGAATGTGTCGCTCAATTCCGTGGATGAGTTGAAGTTAGGCGGTCCAGTGGTCTAGTGGTTAAGTGCCCGCGTGCGAAACCAGCAGGTCCTGGGTTCTAATCTCTCGGGGGGCGAGACCATGGATGCTCACTGCTTAGGAGTCCCACAGTAGTCCAGTGTTTCCAGGTTTCCCATGGTGGTCTAGCTTCAACTGATACATGTATATTTCTTTGAAATAATACAGCATGAGATTAGATCTATGATAATCTTCATCTTCTTAATACACTATCAAATATACAATATTTATTATATTATTAAACGATTGAAACAAAAGATTTTTTTATTGTGTTCAATCATCATAGATCATATATGAATTATTATTATTTTTTTCATCATCAATTCGATTGTTATTTAAATAATCGAATTAAAGTAGTATTTCTATACGTTGAATAAATAAAAAAAATTTATATAGCTATTCACTGATTGGTCAATGAGACAAGTCAATTTTTATTGATTAATGAAAATTATTAAGATTACTGCAAAATGATTGTACATGTAACAGTATATAAACTGGACTAATATCAATTCATCATAAATAGCATCAATGAATTCAACATGTTAATGTGTGCACTTTAATTAACTCACACAAGATACTTGGACAAATCAGTGAATTATGAATGACATCAAAGTCCCACAATCATTATCAGTTATTCAAGCTACAACGACAAATAAAATGAAGTGGATTAGTAAAATTGCTTATGGAACGGGTCAAATGCTTAAAGATCTTGTTGCAGGAGTTATCAGTATATTCTACATCATATTCTATGAAGGTTGTATCAGTTTGAGTAGTTCACAAGTTGGGGCATTATTACTGTGTGGTCAGATTGCCAATGGATTAGCCACACCACTGATTGGTTATTTATCAGATCGTCCACTCGGCCTAACTGAAAAATCGGCAACTGTTCACCAGTCGATAACGTGTGAAGATGGAAGTGTAAAGAAGGATAAGAGGTTGTTCAGTCGAATGAAACGACAGTTGAGACTTGGACAGAGAAAGTCATGGCATTTAGGTGGATGTTTATTGATGCTTATTGCCTTTCCGTTGATGTTCGGACAACCGGAATATTTTGTTGGTCTTCCAATTGTGGTGAAGTTATTGATCAATGGCATGTTTATGATTTGTGTTCAGGTATGTTTTATTGTATGAATGAATGTTTGTGATTGTGATGTGGAGTTTTTGGAATCACTCGGAAAAATATTAGGTGATAATGTTGGTCGATTGAGTGAATATTTTAGTACGATGTGTTTGATCTAAATCTATGTAAATGTGTAGACATTGGAATGAATATCACGAAGGCCTTATTATTTCAGTTTTATTCAATAAAATGTCTGAACCCTTATCAATTTAGATATCTTATTACTTAAGTTTTCTTGCCTTCTTTAGCTAATATTATTATGGTCACTTTACTGTTGTATTTTGATACTTACTATCATTTTGTCTATCGTAATCACAGTGGTTTTCAAATGTTTCAAAATAAATGTCGTTTATTTTAGGCTTTTGAATATTTAGCATTTCTAAATTGTAGACTTTCATACAGGCTAGATAAACTAAATACAGTCACTTGATTATTTTTTTAAGTTTGATAAGCAACATTCAATTGATGGATGTGTATCAATCATATACTCTTTTGGTTAACGTTTTTTAGAGTTAGTTTTCTACAGGGTGAAGTCGCTAACCCCATGCCCAACCCTCCTCCTTAATCTGGGCAGTAGCCCCAGAGGGGCCCCAGGTGGAACTATCAATCATATATTTCAACTGTTTAGAATATAGTCGTGTCTGTGAACGTCTTCAAAACTGTCAGACGACAATAAAAAGTCAAAAAACGTTATTTTTTTATTGATTACTATAGATGGATCTTTTTTATTTCTGCTTTTCTTATAATAATCAGTTAAGCTTACTAACTAATGTGACACAGTCGATTTTAGTTACAAAGATCAATCAAATAACTTTCTTCTTTTAAACTTTGAACCTACAGTAAGTTCTAATATGCTATTTTAACTAATCATTGTTAATTCTTTGTATTTAAGTACTATGAAATCTAACAGCTTGAACAGATCTAGCTCTTTAATCTATACTTCGGTAGATAACGAACAATACTATTTGTCGGTACATAACTTCCGATTAATCAACTTACTTTATTTTGCCGCCATTAAATAAGGTTAAAATATTTTTTGCGTAAACGAGTAGAATTATTTCCCTCAGTGATGAAATAAAAATAGAAAATCCGTAATTAAGTGAAATTCTCTCTCTTTTACTTATTCATTGTTTCTTGTTTTTCCAAAAAAGATATTTCTCTTACTTTAGATAAGTGAATAATTGTAATTATTTAATTCTTTAAAACTATTATTAATGCATTCCATTTATTAGTTGAATTCATGAATCGATTAAAACTAGACCACCATGGGACGTAAAGCACTGGACGGCCGTTTCGTCATAACATGGGACTCCTCAGCAGTGAGAAACCACGATCCGAACCCAGGACCTTCGGTCCCGCGTGCGAATGCTTAACGTCTAGACCACTGAGCCGGCAACCAACTGTGTTAATGTCTAACTTCAACCAATCCATTCTGTCTTTTAAAAATAAAGTTGATAAAAACCACTTTATTTGTGTAATCAATACCGTTCGCTTTCGTTTAAACAAAATCAGTTGTTACTGTTATACTTTGTCATATGACAGCTTGAAATATCACTTCGTTTAGTTTTTACATACTGCAGTTATCGATAAATGACAGACACTTTGATGTATATGAATGACATATTTTACTCCCACTGTTTTGGTTAAGCTTTTATCAACTAAAAAGTGTTCTGATATAATAGAAATAAACAAAACAAACGGAATGACTATTTATAACTTGGTAAGAAAATGTAACGATAGTGTAAAAATGGACCAACAGAACGACGATTAGACTATGTCTATAGACCTTTAGTCTATTGTTCATATTCACACACGTATCGGACTGATTAATAACTAATACAGGTTTATTGCTTGATGTTAAATGAAAATCAGGTACTTTCTTAAACTGTATAATCTTATCTAAATAATCTATAAGAAAAAAGAACTCTTCTAAGAAACATTTATTTATAATTAATTCATCACCATATATGGATTCAAATAAATATCTTCAAATCGTTAACTGACAAAATTTAATCCTCACAACAAGGGACTAGATAATATACTGTTGATTTTATCACTTCGTGACTGATCATTAAAAGAATCTAAGATCAGGCTGATTAAGTATCTAGTTGCAGTACTCGGTGATGCATGCTCAAATCTCTGGAAATATATTTATTTTTTCTGGATTGTAGATGTATTTCGGTAATAAATGTCGACCAAGTAGAAACCTGGATGTAACATTTGATGATAATATCGTTACAATCATCTAATCAATACGATGCTTAATAATAGTCATGATTAATATGTTGTTAATCAGTGTAATTTATGGGAAAATTAACAGAGCCCCAGAAAACTGAGATATCAAATTCCAAATACGTAAATCGTATCACATAGAAAAGGTTCAGTAAACAATTTTAATCTGACATAAGTGGATTTTACAAACTGTAGACCAATAAGTTTAGGTAGGCTAAATTCCTTATCAGATTAAAGTAAATTATTCTTTAAGCTAAATCATATTTGAACTTAGGTCAAATAATTTTCTTAAGCGATTGTTTTGGAAGAGAGCTAAGTAGACATTTTCTTCAAAAACCACATTAAGACACATTAAACCGTATACTGCCAGGCAGGACCCATATGTAAATTACAGTAAATTACGATACTATCAAGGATAATTTATAAATGAAGTTAAACTTTCATAAACCAGTCACTATTACTAACTATCTTCTTTTCAATGAGATGATCAATGTTAATTGATAAGTCATTTGAAACCTGAGAAAATGTCAATTACCAGTTTGAAAATTCCACAGCTCTAATCACCATTCTTCCAGTATCCATTGTAATTTGAAATTACTTAAGTTCTAAATAATCGGGTATCCAATTGTGGTCATCTTCAAGATACATTTCTCTGGTTCTTGTGTTCTGTGGAGTCGGATGAACTGACTAAACGCTGATTTTGTGTTGATGATATTTTATAATAAAACAACATTCAAACTAATTGATTCTCTTTTTGTCTACACAACAATGTTTTGAAGGTTGGTTGGGCAGCTGTACAAATTCCCCACTTATCAATTATCAATGATTTGACAGACAAACATGATGAAAGAGTATTACTTGCATCCTTAAGATATTTCTTCAGTGGTATAGGCGATATGGCTACATTGCTTGTAACTTATTTATTTTTTGAATCAGAAAAATCCAGTTTGTTACTTTTGAAATCAGTAAATGAGACTGACAACAATGTGAACAACAGTCAACTGTTCACAAAATCATTAATAACAACTGACATTATTGTTGGAGTGAACGAGCAACATTGTTCAATCATTCGATAAATAACCAGTCAACGAATGTTGGGAAACAGTTAATCGTACATTCAGAATACAATATAACAATTCAAGATTTACCCATATTTCGAAATGTTGCATTGATTGTCGTTGGCATTGGAGTATTATTCACAATAATCTTCCATTGTGGTGTTCGTGAAGGTAAACCGAAAGCACACCAACCACTCACAATGCAATCTCATGAGAGTAAGTCAAATACCATGTTGATGTAGATGGAATTTTGGAAATCCAAACTATGTATGAATGTTGTTTGTTGATATGTTTGCGTGTTTCAACAAATGGAGCTGATCCGATTGAAATGATTTCTAGAGAGATTTCTGTACTGAGTGGATAAACGATAAAGTCGATGCAACCAATTTGACCAATGAAAAGTAAACATCTGATTAGTTTTGACTCGAATAGGGTAGTAACTTGGTAAGTGTTCATTGGTTTTACTGTACACTGAATGATTAGTTTGAAAGAGACAGTGATGATGAAAACACTGGGAAACTGACATTTCACTTAACTGTTATATTTGTCGATGTAGAATGAATGAACTGAAATTGATCATAATTCTCTGTCACTCATCATTTTCAATTTTTATTGGTTAGTGTTATGGCGAATATACAGGTTGACATTGAGTTGAGTTGTGGACTGGACTCAGTTGGATAATTACCAAAATGTTAGTTATCATCCTCAGACAGTTGCTTCATTGAGATTTGAGACTTCTCGTCACCTATTACTTACCACTGTGAGGCATTCAGGTCATACTACACAAAACCCACTGATTTGTGGTCCATTAGTTGTCATTGTGTGGTTGAATTCACATTTCACTCCAGAGAAATGTAGGGGTGAGCAGGAGCATCAGACTAAGACGAACTAGCTACATAGTCCTTCCTAGTTTCTAATGGTTCTCTAGTTAATGCCAGTCGATTCCGGTTCATGTATCGCACACAATCAAGCAAATCTATTTCCACAAATCTTTTGACCAGAAGGAAAGTGTGGCAATTAGGACTTGAAAGATGGTGAAATATTCTGCCGTTGAATTAGATACGTCGTTCTTAGAGTCTAATGTCAACTCGTTCGTTGAATTGGTCGTTTTGAAGTAGTCGCGCTACACAGTAGATGAATGTAAACGAAACTATTATAATCTGTTATCAATATGATATTGTCTGATCTGTGAAATTTTGAATTCTTATAATTGAGGTAATTTAATTGATGTTATTGAAGTGTATGAAACCGGTGACAGTTCGGCACAAGGAAGAAATGAGTGCACAGATTGAGATGTATGGATTGTACAATCACTATGATTTTGTTGTCGAATCATTTTGATGATTATGAAGATGATGATAATCAGTCCACACGAACAAATTGTAGGTATTGAATGAGATTCATTTACACAATTTTTTGTAATCTGAAATTAGTCAGAATTTGACACTTATTTCTTTCCATTGTTGAAGATACCACAGATGAATTCTCACAAGTGAATGGAACAAGCAACAATAACAAAGTGATTAATGGTAATTCTGTTGTGGTTTCACAGCCAAATCCAAACGAAAACGGACCTACAGCCTTTCATCTACACTTCCCTGGTATGCTTGGTTTACACTACCAAGATTTTGGCTGAGCTGTTCTACATTCAGTATAATGCGTCTTAGTGTGACTGTTTCTGTGGTAAGTAAGTGATGAATCATTGAAATACCTAATGGAATGACTACAAGTTAAGATAATTCTCTGTACAGAACCCCTCCTATGGGATCATATTTGGGAAGTGTGTTTCAGAGTTATAATTCAGTCAGGGTTTTGTGGTTGAAATATTGAATGAAGATGAGATTTACCTGAAAATAAGTGGAATATCGACCAAGTGAAAAACGTTGAATTGTTAATTGACCATATGTTAAAGCACCATCAAAATGAAATGCATCCTTCCAATAAGTGGTGTCGAAAAATGATTACAATATATTCTGTAAATCAGATGATATGGCACGACTTTACCGAGCAAGAATAGCAGGAATCAACGAAATAAATTAGGCTCTTCTTGGAGACCGGATATACCATTTTCAACTTCAACTGTAGGAGGTCTGAACTAATAAGGTTTCGGAATTCAGATGGCAAGTAGAAATAGTGATCTAAAACATCGATGGAAGATGCTCATGTATCGAAAACTTTGGTTTTGTATATAAATATCGCACCTAGTAGTAATTGGATCATTAATCTGATTACGAATTATTCAAGCTGTTTCGCAGTTACGGTTAGTGTAGCATAATATGTAGAATAGCATACGACAGAGAGATGAGCCTAAATCATGAGAAGCGAAATAGACGCTACCTCAAGTGGGTTCGTGATCAGGGTTAACTATTCGGCATTCAGCTTGTTCCGTAAAACTTGAGGCTGAAGTATGCGATATTTTGTCATTACCTCTCAGACGTCCAATCAAGAAATACTTTTGTAAGCTGTAACGATAGTCGAAAAATATATCAGTAGAGAAATCTGATTATATTAAAAATCACATAGTAATCCGATATAGTTTATTTGAGATGCTTTGATAACAAATATGAACATGTAGTACTGTCATACTATTCCCATCTTCGATGCTTGAGACCACGTGTCTCTGTGATCAATAGCACACAGCTGAAGTCGACAGTCAGTGACTTTGTGAACTAGCGTTATGTGAAGAATGCTCATAATGTTTCCCTAATGAATTCACTTCAAGCATCATTCAGTCTTCGTGATGGAATTCAGTCAAATTCGACAAAGATAATTAGTACATTCACTTTCTATATTCATTTATTGCGTAAACGTTTCACTGTTCTTCTACAAGATTCTTTTCATTATTCATTTTTGTTACATAACTTTGCTGTTTTGTGTTGAATTTGTGATATATTTAAATGATGTAGCAGTTTATTTGATTTACCTGCCTGTCTATTTGATCTACCTTCAATGAATGATCTATTTCAACTTCCGTAAACTTATTATATGATGAAATTCAACGTTAAGCTCTCAATATTAAATAAGTGTTTCAAACTATCAGAAACACGTATAAAGTTAGGTACATAGAATAAAGCACTAAGAGCACAGGTCGGATAAAGAATCACTTTGATTAGTTCTTCACAGAAACTCTAAACTAATATACACGTTCTAAAATTAAGACTAAAGCCAATGCCATATAAATGGTGGTTGGTCAGTTTAACAATGTATTTCAATACTTCCTCTAAAAGCAGTCAGCGGTTAATAAATAAACGGATACAAAATTCGATCTGAAGACCAGAGTACGTATTCAGATCATCGCATCAACTCTTCACCACCACTGGGTTTAACGGTGTTAATGTCCAAATTCAGTGAATTCACGAAATGTAGCAAACCTGATTCATTGCCTGTGGTGGATAATTGTCTCACACTGGACATTGTTGAATTCGACTGGTCACAGCCTCTCTCTTGAACTAAAGTTAACATACTTACAATAGTGAAATAGATTAGATTTGGATATGTGGCGATTGGGACTGACTTAATTCAACTAGATAAATATAATATATGTGAGAGAATGTTCTGAATCATCAGTTATGATGAGTGTAGATCATAGAGGTAAGAAGATTACTTGATTATGTAATGAGGTGGATGAACACAAACTGATTGTAATTAAGAATGAAATTTGTTGAGATCAATTAGTCAAAACTCAAATTATGAATTTCAAAGAAGTGATGCATTTGAGATAAGAGAATGAGTTTCAAAAATGTTCAGATAAATTAACGATAGCGTCAACTTAGTATGCAATTTACCATTATCTCCTTTTTTATGTAGAAATCGTGCTTGAGTCTTTTGGTATCTGTAGCTTCAGGAAAACTCCAAAATAAAAGGATTTTAATTTCAGTCGATTATTCTAGGATACTTCAGTTCATCAGCCCAATTAAATGTGTCAATAAATTATTTTGAAATAGCTCTGTTGCAACACTATGAACTGCTGGTCAATAATGTGCTATGAATAACTGATAACTCGTGATTAATTATTTATTGAAAGGATACTTTCATTATGACTACTGACTTCCCGTTAGTTCATGAAAATAATTGCTCATATTGACTTGTGTATTATTTATTATATTCTTAGTGAATACAAAACAATTTACCATTCAGAGAAAAACATATCCTACTACAATAAATCTACTCACAACTAAATAAATAGATAGGTTAGACAGTAAACTTTACGAATCCCACAAGGAAAGCAAATTGGTTGGTAATCAAATCTATAAGGCTCATTTCTCTTTATTAAAGAATTGCCAACTGTGCTTACCTGCATCTATACTGGTAGTTGCATTGAAATTGTATGACATATGTATATCTGGTTTGTTACGTACACTAGGGAATAGCTCATGACTTTACCCAACCATCATGTATCAGTTCTGCACAAAAGCACATGCGAAGATGTGCATAATTCGGAATCTGTGTTAACTTACGAACATTAACTTCAAACATGTGCTTTGAATTTTAGTATATTTTGCATGTGGTTGACTATGAAATCCAGGATATGAGTTTCGTTGTATACGGACTTCATGATTCGGATATATCAGTATTTTAGTGTTAATGCTCTCATCTAAGCTTGAGCACCTTACCTTTACGTTCAAATTGAATAAATATGCCATATCACGAAAATTTATATTGACCACTGAAGTTAAATAGCCGCTAGTAAAAGAATCCTAGACTCGTGTTTCGTTTTCTTAAAAAAACTAGTATCCAGTTACATCCAGCGGACGAGCCCCGGACAATATGAATGTAGGTCCTGAATTCCACTGCTAACCACATAAATATACAAAAAATGTACGAATAAAGATTATTACGCAGCGATCCGAACGGAAGCGATTAATTCCTGTTCTGAATACTAGCATTATAAACTTGCAAACCCTTAATTGTATACGTTTTAAATCCCTTAATATATAACATGAGAAATTTACTAATATTAGTTTTTTAATTACTATTTTCCTAGATGTATATGGGTCCATTTTTGTTGAATTCATTAAAAATGGATAAAAGTTCAATGGTTTCTGCCCCATTAGTTACCACAATTTCTTGTTTGATTACATCAGTTGGTGTACAAAGGATAAATAAATTACTCGGGAATTATGTAAGTAGAAGGAATTGACGATTTCGATAACATCGAAATCAAGTTAAAACTTTATTACTGAAAAATATTTCACATTTTGTTAAGCGCTGATTCATAACAGTTTCGTTGACTACATTTTAAACCTCATTCATGATTTATTTGTCATTGGAATACAGCTTCATCTGTCTGTCTGCAATCGGCAATGAAATATTAACAGGTTCTCTCCACTATAAACCGTTTAACGTAGTATTTAAACTGTTTCAAAACGTTTAGAATAATCTAAGTGTGAATAGATGTTTGCAAAAATGAACTGTAATTGTAAGACGTGATGAGGCTTCGATCGGGAAAGAACAATTCGAGTCCATAACTATAAGAATATCACTCTTGAATTTTATGGTGTTGAAGAGATCTGGAATGAGGCCTCACACGATGTTAAACAGAACACATTGAGAAATAATGCAGATGGTTTACCACTACATTTTGATTGGTTGGTGTCAACAAGTAGTCTGAGTAGTAGACCGACATTGAGCCGAAAGGACCTAACTGGCCAAACGTCTCATGTGATAAAGGCAAAGAAAACAACTTGATCAATCGAACAGATTACAGCTTCAGTCATGAGTGAATCAACAGAATTACTAATGTTACTCAGATACTGAAGAATAATCATGATAATTATATCGGCTGATATAGATGATGTGTTTGACTTACTCTGAGGAAGTCTCATGTGGCAGTTTGTATTGCAGAAGGCTGTATTGAAGTAACACACTTATGGGTAGCTTTACTAAAACACTCGGACATCTGTAAGTATCTGGAAGCATCGTCCAATAACCAGACATATGATGCAGCACATGAGGTTGAATTGGACAACAGATTACGTTAGACATTTTATCTATAACTAAATATATTTCCAACGCTTATCAACTCACCATTGAATTCACAGTTTTCAATAAGACAATGGTAATTAAGATTAGCGTAGTTCTTTCATTATACATAGCTATTTACTCTTTACTCATGTAACGCAACGTTCAATTCAGTTAGTCTCGACAAACATCACCAGTGAGATGTTAGTATGCAAACCGACCACTCACACATAACACATCATGGCTTTAAAGATTTCAGAGTAGAATTTTAAATGTCTATAGCTAGTTGATAATACTCTAAATGATCAATTACTCATCTTGCCAATGATTGATTTGACTTGATGCAATATATTCTTGCGATGGCTTTACTATTCATACGTGAATTTCGATGAGCATTTTGAAGAACTCAGTACGTTTGTCTATCTTATAACATGATCACATGATAGATATATGTACCTTGTATCTCTGAGTGTGTAAATGTTCCGCTAAAAATCGTACATGCCTTTTTAATTTTAGATTGGCTCAGTCGTCGGTGTTCTATTTATCCTTGTATTTTGTACAATCGCTTACTTTTTAAAATCAGCCGATGAAAACCTCGTAGCAATATATTTTGCTGCAGCCATTCTAGGCATTGGAAACACAATCAATAATGTTCGAGCATTGGTTGTGATCGCAACATTGATCGGTGTAAAACAGGTACACACAGCAGCATTTGTTCATGGGATCGCATCATTTTTTGATAAAATCTTGACTGGTGTCTTCATTCAATGCATACAACTCTGTGTACCTCAGTTAACTTATAGACATATACAGGTGTATATTGTAGGTAGTTTGGCAATATTTGGTGGTATTCTAGCGACAATTGGTAATTTCATTTATTCAGAGACTTTAGAAAGTACAGATGCACCATGTCTTTCATGTTTTTGTCAAAGAACAACTTCATCGTCGCCTCCGTCACCAACGAAATTTCAGAGTGATCAACCTTCAATCGTGATGTTCGGAACGAAAGGAAAACAGCGATAACTGTCAATGCTAACCAACATATTTATGTATCATTAGTACAAGTCTTTCCACATGCAACAAAACGTCTCCATTTTCTATCTCTACCACTTTTCAGTTTATCAGTTAATTGATGTATATTTACCTACTGTTCCCTTCAAAGAAACCCGATCTATTATGATACATTTCAACATGAAATCCATACTTTCCTTAAGCAATCTACTATCGAATACTTAATTCAACCTTTCCACTGAATATTTTATTTTTGTAAACATCAGGCTGTAATACTTAGACACTTGATGTAAATTAAGAATATGGAGTACTCATAATACTTGTTATTTTGGCAGAATATTGTATTAATTATCAATAGTTATTCATAATTGATTCTTCGACAGATGTCTTTTCTGTAAACAAACAGAAGTTAGAGTGTAGATAACATTTTTTAATAAAACAAGTAGAAATAAATTGCACCAACCAACAAGTATTCTAACTCGATTCATTAATTTCAAAAAACTGGTTTACACTAGCTGATGAAGAAATGGAAATTATGGACTGACGATTATTTATTGTGTCCTGAACTCCCATCACAATAAACCGTGATTAGTTTGTGATTTATATTGTGACAAATTAAAAGGTGAGATAAGTATGAGGTTACTGTAAATTCTGATTAGATATTTTATATAATTTGACAATAGTTTGAGTGAATGTTTGGTATGCACTTGAGGAGATTGGAAGAATCGAAGGAGTACTGGACAACCGTTTCATCCTATTTAAGGGCTTTATAGCAATGTACATCCACGACTGTAAAAGAGACATTTCACAGTGAATATAGCCATTCCAGATCCCTGAATCAGAATCAATTTGTCTACATTTTTTGAAATGGCGAGACAGCAGCTCACACCCGATTTGTTTGACTTTACAATTCACAGCTTCCCATCATGACTTTGAGAAATACAACACAAAGCTAGTCAATAACAAGCGTATGACCATTGATTAGATAGATGTTTTGTATAAACTTCTTTGATTTAAACATAGTTTCTATGACTCATCGTTTCATATTCTCAACAAGAATGCCTCATGGTTCTATTCAATAATTCATTATGAATCAGAAGCATACTATGACAACTTATGAGGTTAGATCTGCAAGTTTCAAGGCATTAGTTCTTTGAGAAAATGTTAACGGTATATAATCCTGATGTAATAATAAGATGGCTTATAAGTTAATCCAGATAGTAAATGGACATTTAATCATTAGGTTATATCAAACTAAAATTATTAATGTTAAGTGTCGGATCAATGATTTCGTGATGTTAATATTAAGCGACTGATTGCCTGTTGAACGTCGTTCCTTAACTAAAGAGCATAACATGCTCAGGTGACGTCTGTTTCTCCTACAAATAGCATTAGATATAAATCTCCCGTAGCTTACTTCACGGACTGACTGTGGCTACACACCCATAGAGGACTGGATAGCAGCCTCATCCTAGTACGGGACTCGTCATCAGTGCATACCCATGGTCCCACTAGGGATTGAACCCAGGACTTCAGTTGTCACAGCACACGCTTGACCGTTAGTGTCCAATCATACGTTTCCAGTCGGAGTTAAGGATAAAATATTCCTATCAACTCGAGATATCAAACAGTGATCAATTAACAGTATTTCCCAACGATTAAATCTTACATTCCTGATGATTAGATTCAAATGAGTATCAAGGTATACAATTGCAGGATGGTAAACATTTTTACTTATACAATGAAGTGGTTAATTAGTTATGAAATGCTGTCACTCTCGTCCTGTCGTTGCTATATGAATTTCATCATTTTACCAATTTATAAAGGTTATCTCATCGAAGCTTCGTTTTTGGTAAGAAAACAGATTAAACATGAATGTTTCGGAAACGGGTATTTCTATATTTCATTGCAAAGCCTTGAGCTAGACAGTCAATCGACTTAAAGGTACAGAGGATGACTACCGATAAAAGTAGATGATAATCGGATGTAATAACGAACAGACTGAAAGTGTGAACTTGACTTGGTGACCGTAATATAAACAGTTACTACTGAGAAGTTATAGGCTAGGGTAAAATAGCTGTCTGATAGGCGTTGAATTTTTTGTCATGGATGGTACTGAAAAATCCAATTTCGTTTCGTACATAATTTTGAGTTTAACACTCAGTGATAGTCATCGTTATTATTTAAGACTCTAGCACAAATCAGAGGGAACTACATAACTTTAGAAAGGACCAGTATAAACATAGAAATAATAGTTGAAATAAATTTTCAAAAGTTTCTCTTACTTTAAAGCTATATGGTAATTTTGAAAGTTCCCTCATGAATTGACTATATAGTGATAACGGTAAAGTGTGCAAAAAAAATCGTAAATAAGTCACACAAGATATCAATACCAAAATGTCGTCTTACTTCATAGTACCGTACGGTGAAATCAACGAAAAAAAAAAGAGCAATATTAAGTGAAATGAAAAAAATGGAAACATTTGTGCTACCAAAATTGATTTTTAGCCATCTATCTCTAACCACTAATTCCCAGTATCACCATTATACGATAAATATCTAAGTACATGTTTTTGATAGTGAAACCATGCTTCTAAACAGAAGGAAATGATACGTAGTTGATTAGAATCCCAATAAGTTTATTGTAGTTACTTCCGAGACAAAATTGTATTGGTAAATTACGTCAAACGATACAAGATTATGAGATGCACAAATTCCGAAAAACAACATACAGACAAATACAATATGTAACAAACTTTTATTTATGGTGTTTGGTAGATAGTACTTCTTTGATCTTATTCACAAGATCTGTGTACAAAACTTCATATTCTTCTCGGGTTTGAATATCTCTCAACTTGACAGTGTTACGAGCTAGTTCACTTTCTCCTAGAACAACGGCCAAAGGAATACCAGTTGATTCACAATACTGTAGTTGATCCAAAAGTTTGGGGTGATTTTTATGCGACATCGTAGCCTGTGAATTAAGAGTTTCGAAGTAAAAGTATAATTATGTATTAGGTATGATCTATTGATGACAGTAATAATAGAACAACATCAATAATATGAGAGGACAATAGGAAATTTAATTTTTGATGATATAATTTAATCATTCATGTACAAAATATCTTGAGAACTGTAAGAACAATTGTACAACTACTACTTAAGAACTTCACTTTGAATTAGTGAAAATAAGTTCAACCGCTATCCTGTTTGAGTCCACTAGTCATCAACGCAGAGCTTGACAGATGTGCGTTGGCTCAATTTGCTATACTATATCACCACTATGAGACCAAATTAATAAGACTTGTAGTAAAAGAGACTGAAGTAATGTAGTAATAATGATGATGGAAAAGACTATGCATCGAGAGAAGATAGTAAAGGTACATATGAAGGAATACTAGAATCCAATATTGAGAATAAAATAGAAAGTGAATGTCTATGCGATATCATGAACGGTTATTAGTTATGTCATACAACGCCTCTAGTCACAAGTTCCGGTTATTGCTCCGGCATCAATCACATAATCTCCATCTAACAACGTGGCCCAGATCAACAATCAATGACTTCATGGACTGATACAATGTCCTGGTTTGGCTGACATTCCCCATCACGGTTATCAGTGAGTGGGCATGCCTAATACAGATCATAACCACTGCAATCAATGAAGGTTGGTAGTTTCATCAACCAAGCCGCTACATTTACCTGGTAACCCGTAACTAACATTACTTCTGTTTAAGTCCTCGAATAAGTATCATTAGTATGTAAGATTTTTCCTACAGATATTCTACCAGAACTGTAAACGCGATACTGAAGATCCAGAGTTTATGTGAAAGTTATGGTCAGAATAAGAACAACTTGGCTTTAAACTTTGTCTGTCTCTAAACGTCAAAAACAATTCAACTAGTACAATAATTAAAGGAATTATAATCATTAAGTGAAACACAAGCATACCGACTAGTATTACGTATCTTATCGAAATGAATAAAAAATGATTTGCAGTCACACTAATGTGATAGAATAATAGTTTCCTTCATTTGCCAGGTCACATGAAACAGGGATAGTCTACATACACATCAGACCAGGTTGACGTGATGAGCGTTCAAGCAGCGATATGATTGGTTAGTTATAGACATAAATATTAAGTTAATAGTTGAATTCATGGGCCAATTGAAGCTAGAACACCATGGAAAACCTGTAAGCACTGGGCGGCCGTTTCATCCTAGTATGGGACTCCTCAGCAGTGCACATCCACGATCCCGCCACGCGAAGTTCGAACCAAGGACCTATCGGTCTCGCGCGCGTAAGTATTTGTATAATATGCACTTTACAATTTAGAATACAAACTTGTATAGAGATCCTGAGTTGTGTTAACACAAAAAACATCTCAATCAGTACATCAGTAAAACATTAACAACACAGCGACTGGCACGAATGTACAATCATCTAATTTGGCAAACCATGCAACCATAAAAAGGAAAGCAAGAGATTTGAAATAATAATAATAATAATAATAATAATAATAATAATAATAATAATAATAATAATAATAATAATAGAAACAAACCACGTAGAATATAATTTTAAAAGCAGGAATAAAATTAACAAACGGAAAGTACAAGATAACATTCAAAGGGAGATTCCTTCTTCATAATTCTAGTTTAAAAATTTGAAAGATTGATGTTATTTAAGCATTGGATTGTCTGGTTGTAACTGTTTGTCAATATGACAAGAAGTAATTCGTTTTCTTAATGTTATGAGACTGTTCCTTTTGCAAAATAGATTAAGAATATATTTTATTACTTATATTAACATTAAGACATTTGAATCAATCAAATGAAACTTAAGAACGAAACGCTTACCTTAATCTTTGCATTCCATAAGAGTTGACAGCATTGTAAACGTTGTATAATAAGACCCTTATGAGCTCCAGCAACCATGACTTCAGTTTCAGTTGGTCGCACGTTACACTTATTCTTATCTGAAGAATTACTCAAAGCTTCTTTAATTGCTAATAGTCGTTCAACACCAAAACTAAAACCAACACACGGAACTCGTGTTCCAGAAGAATCGAACATTCCAACTAAACCATCGTAACGGCCACCACCAGCTACACTACCAACAGTCATGGATTCGCCAGGTTTAACAGAATCCTCCTCTAACTGTTCTTTGGCTTTCTTATCCTTTTTACTTGATTTTTTATTTTTTACAGAGGAGTTTAAGTTAGTTTCATTAGAACCAGTCAATTCTGCACCTGAATTACTTGGATTGTAAGTGAAACCTGTTATGTGAAACAAACAGTGGATTTCATTTAAATATTGGATTGTATTTTTGGCAAAAAAGAGATCAAAGTAGGCTACGAATACATTTTATTGAACTTATAATAACCTTTGAAATAGTGTTTTTATCTATAATCTGATCCATAAACATAGTCAGTGAGCGTCTAACACGTAGAAACGCAATGATAGAAAAGAATCTGTCCCATATACAATAAATTGTGTACGGTAAGGTGTCAATAAACAAACTGGGCTGTAGCAAGTACTTACAAACAACAAGACAGCAATAATTAGCCAGTCAGTCAACCATAAACAACATAAAACCTCACACCAGTTCAGTTCGTGTTGATGCAGTGTGGGAACTTGCACCGATGAATATATGTGACAGGTTCTACGTTCCGTATAACTACTAACAAAAGGCTTTGTTGTCGAAGAGGTTTTCTGCAATTTAATTAAAAGAAATTCTCGATTGTTGAGATGAACGAATAGAATGCGAACCGATAGATAAACGTTATGGTGGCCAAATAATGGTTGCTCATGACACCTTATTATTGACTTAAGTTCACGAAAGATCATAAATCGAAAACAATACCAAATAAATAGTTTCCTGTGTAATAAAATAGCATGTTTACATAAAAAACATGAACACAAAATAAACATGATAAAATTTCATAGGCGATTGGAGGAAATTAGCTTGTATGTCAATTAATATCCAATTAGTTAAGGCCTGACTGTTAGAACTAAACTTTGAGCATCGTATCAGGTTTAAAATAAACAGATGAAAGGGTGTCGAATTATCTATATTTTTGTTTGTATTATGACCTTTTATTTACTACGCAATCGGAAAAATATAAACACAATAGTATAGCAACGCACGCGATTACTGTTCAGTAAAGCACTCTTAATGCACGCCCCGACTATTGGAAAGGTGAAAAAGATAAGCCTGGACTTAGACTACAAAGAATATATTTTCCGGAAAAATACCACGTTCATATGCAGATCTTCCTTTCAGTAATTATTAACTACATTTTCATACAGAAAAATAGCAAAACTGAGTAAACACACCACAAACGTTATCACAATACAGTAATGTACTGAAATGATTAATAACCGAGATTGATATGGCAGTTAAGAATTAGGTCTGGAAGTCAGGTTTTAAATGCTTGGGGAGTGAATGATCTACACACTGATTCCCTTCAACCCGCTATGAAATTTTTTTTCGGATTAATATTTTATGCTTAACCACGTCACGTTATCGTGTAAAAAAATTTTCTTTCTGTATGGTAGTCTTGTCTTTAATATTGAATCACTTGGAGGCTCAAGTCAATAGTTCGTTCATCCATATCGTTTCATTGCCCATCGTCTATTGATCAGTATTTTTTCTTTCATTCAAACAGTCCAAGATCCGTTTATCAAATCAATAAACCTCAATGACTATCATACTGAATTAATCAATAATCTTACTCTTGACTGATTTATTATCAGTTTGCCTTTACCACTACTAGTATGAACCGATGATGTATGTTACCGAGAAATATACTAATCGGCTTTATTACTTCAAAAACCTTCACGGTCACAAAGAATCAGATTCTATATGTGTAGCAATTTCTCAGAGTCTATTATTAGTATTCATGTACACAGAATATCTACTGGTGACAATTCTTGCTTGGAAAATACTTCACGAACCAGATATTTAAATATGTAATTGATTAGACCGATCAGTAAGCATAAAAATTATGGGAGACTAACAAAATAATAATTTATGATTAATTTGTTCATCAGGTATTTGGGCATAAGCCACAATCTAATGATAAGGACTAATCATGCTACCCGGTTTCCCAAACCAAATTAGGTGGGGCAGGGTTCGAACCAAGAGCTTATTGGCCGAAAGTCGAACACCTCAATCACAGGAGACATCGTAGTGGCTGATCCTATGTCAAGTCCACATAGCTTATTCTAGCTTATGGACTAACCAATTCATCCATTCTTCTCAAGGTACACTTTGACCTTGTTAACTATTCGCTTATCAACCTTGACTTTTTATGAGTGTATGTGCGTACATTGGTTTTCCTACTCACCACATGCCTGTAACTTATTTTTGGTCTGACTATAAATATTGATTCACGCTTGGTTAAATTGAGTTGGCTCGCTCGCCTTTTCACCGAGCGTCATTTAGTCCTGCTTTTCTCTCTCCCATTTGCTTCCTTCGCTCTGTCTCCCCGATTGTCTGTGCAGATCAACTTTACGAAATAAACGTATTTAAAACTCCGTTCTCGTATTTGACTTATTTAATTCCGTTATTCACTAACGCGATTTAAGTTGATCATTATATACGAGAGTAGCCAGGATGTATATTTCAATAACAATCAGAAACGATTTAACTGGAAACAGATCTAGGGCCATAACAACGTAAAAAATACATAACTAGATGAACCAAAGTAACCAATGAAGATAGTCGTGTACGAGAACAAGATTCAAACAAATGCTTAATTAAAAGTATGGAACCGATGAAATTGGTAAACTTTAAACAGGAACAAAAATTGATTATAGTCCTTTTTTAAAACTGCGACTAGTGGTTTCGTTGAGACAGTAATTCATGAAAAGCGGTGGTTTGTAGCATCAAAAAAGAACAAAACTTACGAAGGTTATTTCAATTATTTCCTTATTATTTAGCTGCTTGATTATATTAGTACGGAAAAAAAACTGTTATAGCCAGCTAATTAGCATCGATTCAGCTGGTAATTATAGACTCAATTTTAAAGCCCTAGCCGCTTTATCTAGTGAATAAATACACTTAAAATTCTTAACAAGACAACGAAGAACTATACACCGGCTATTTGTTTCTATATGCCTAACCTAGCAATCACGCAAGCAGGCGGATTTCAGTAGGATAAAAACGTGAGAAATGTAAACAGTTCTTAACAAACTTTTAGAAGCTTAGCACTTGCTTCTGTAAGTAAGTTTGTCATTATACGGAAAAAGGTCAAGAAAATAGTTAATCATAAGCTGTACGAATGACAGCAACACAATTAACATAGTCACATTGATGAGTTATTTATAAGATTATCAGAGCTCACACATTTTTAGGTGCTTGTTTTGTTGAAGGATGATAAAAGCTGTACAAACAAACTATATATTACAGAAAACACAACTCTAGCAAAATTACAATACATTTTTGTTTTACTAAAATCTTTACTGAAACATGGAAACATTTGATAAGCTCACTGGACAAACCTTTCAAAACAGCTTCGTAAATAACACCGGTATAGTAATCCAACCCGCGCGCTAGACTTAAATCGAAGCTAATTCGCTCTTCTATCCCAAGTGCTTTACAATAGTCTAATAATAATCTCATTTCCTGAAGAGCGGCTTTAGCTGATGGTTGATTATTAAGATGCTCATCTGATTCGAGACGTTCAACTAGATCCAAACCTCCAGTTAGCTGAACATACGAACCAATTTTATCTGCAGCTTCAGGTGACAACCCTCTGTCTTCACATAATTCCCGTCTGACATCTTCCCAAGGAATCTAGAAAATGCAAGATGAATGCGACTTACAGACAAGGTTCATGAACACAAAGGTCGGTATGAATATATTTATTCAAATGCACAAAATCTTCTGATCTATAATGTTGCACAAATCCACAGAAAAGCTTTAAATATATATAACTAAAAATGGATTTAACCAACAGAATATAAAACTGAAACCCTAACGGGGTAAATTACGCAAGACTGTTAACTAATGCATCTATATCAAAGCAGTACTATTTCAATAATTGCTGTAAGTTTCCTTTATTTAAGTTTCAGCACCACAATCCTCGGATCTTGAAAACAGAAGAAATAATTATGAATAGGTTGAAGAAACATATATACAATGATCTTGAAATCAAAAGGGGTGATTGTTTTAGACACGTGTGGAATTTCCGATGCTAGTGTCCACGTTCATATCATGTAAAAATCCCGGCTACTAAACACTAACACTGATTTATTAAGTACTGACTGTTACACTATCACTGTACTGTGTTCATCATACAAACACTTAATTCGCAACCTCCCATAACAGTTGCTGAAGTCGCTTCTGGTTCAAAATCTATTAGATTTTATAGACATTTTTCTAGAAGTTCAAAAGAATCATTTTATCTAAATGGAACCTATTACTGAACTAACAACCTATTATATTGAAATAAGTGAAGCAAACATTCCATTTAGAGTACTCCACTTTTAATTATAGTATTGAACTTCATCCAAGTAGTGTCACTAGCTCTTGTGAAGATTGTGTGGTCGAAGTTTGAGTACATGGATCGCTACTGCGTAATACCATTAATCTAGAAGTAACGAGACCCATTTACCCTTATTTTCATCAAGAATAATGACTTATCAAAGGTATCACAAATATATGTAAATAGTTTCGGGGTACCAAGTATATCGTAACAACAAATAAGCAGTAAAGAAATATTGTATGTCAATAAGCAAGCTATTTGTCAACAAATGTGATTTACATGACATCAGCACCCTATACCAGTGTTTCAACGTAGAAAATGACTGGATGAATTCTTTGTAAAATGAACCAATAGTGTTAACTAGTTATTTTACCAGAAGTAGTAATGTGATCAATGTCAAGTTATTTGGTATGATTTAGTTCTAAATCGCGTCGTCACATTCAACATAAATGTGCGATTCCATCGCATAGACAATTTAATTCTACAAACTGTGATTAATTCTTTTGTAACTGGAACAATGGAGTATCAAGCCATTCACTTCATGTATTATTCGGCTATACAATTTTATATGACGTTAATTTTTTATCGCAAGAAAGTGAACTGCTTCCCTATCGATGTATGATTGCTTTTACATTCACAAAATTCACTAATTAAGTGAATAAAACTTTGCCAGTGGATATTCAATATAAGTTAATTAGAGGAACAGAAAGGTACCGGGCTGATTAAAAAGTTACTCAGTAACTTCATTTTGGGGGCCATAGAATAGTAATCATGCTTAGTTTCTGATGATAATTTGTAATATTTATTATAGATAATTACATCTTGAGTGTAGTAATATAACAACAAATATGCAGCGGCATTCTTAATGAGACTAAAACCAGAATTAAGTTTGAATAATTAAGAATGCCAAAAGCACTACATTAAGGAATATGGAAAATATTGCAGAACATTCCGAAAATAAATTACGAAACGGACCGTTTCCACGAATGTTTTCTAGGTATTGAAATACTAAACTTAAGACCTAATAAATATGCTTGACGCAGATTCTCTAGACGCACAGATTAAAAACATGCCTAGCTGAACACCATGAAAAATAGGTTGAATCAATGATAACCTTGATATGGATATTTACGTAGACTTTACAATGCACAGAAATGTCATGTGAAGCTGGCATGTAGATTTAGGAACTCAAGTTACAGGTTCGGATTCTTTTATTAATTAAGGTTTGAGCAAAATAATAATATTGTTAGGTCTAACTACAAGTTTATTCCATAACTTAGTAGATAAACCCATGGCTGGTCATTATATTTTCTTCGCTTTGTTACATAAAGAAATCTAAAAAATGGTAACTGAACAAATCTAATACCTACCTTGTCTAGTTTGTCAACTGAGGAACAAGCTGAAACAAACTTATCCGATGGCACATTACAAGCCGAAAACAATCCATCAAGCAAACGTCTGTGGTTGATCTTTATGACAAAATCGCCTAAATCCAATTCTGAAAGCACTTCGTATATTATTCGAAGGCATTCTGCATCCGCCAACATTAGCCCATGATCTCCAGCAATATCGAAATCCTGGAAAATGAGAAAGCATTTGTGGAAGAATGGAATGCTGACTTTTAAATAGCTGGTTAACAAGGTAAACCCGAACTTACCTACTGTGCAACATCGCCTTACCCATCATTAACTTACGATTATAATTTGTATATCGTTTATATATTTGTTGCACTTGGTACATTGACTTCATATAGACATATGTGTCATTTTAGCATGTCTCAAGCATCACAATAAGGGAAGAGCCTGAACAGATGAAGACGAACTGATAACGAGGGAACAATATAAAGGCTAGTGAGCTATAAAACGAGTATTAGATATTTTTATATATCTCTTCTGTGTATGAGAGAAGTGATCGTGGATTAACATTCAAGGTATTACTCTACGCTAGCCCGTAGTTTAGGTAAAGTCAAACACCCTAAGTATTACACCACAGTTTAGAGGTATGATGGCAGTACTAAATATGAAACAAAAAATTAGGACGTAAAAAATAACCTTGCGTTTGCTGCTCTTAGTTTTACCGTTCTACAACCAACCTGTCTGGCATGGGAGGACCTAGTGGAACGATTGTTCCAGCCAGTATAGCTCCATTCCTTGATCATGAAACGCAAGCCCGACAACCACATCTAGGTAGCAACAACGAACGGGTCAGAACTGTATGCATTAATTATGAACAACACAGAAAAGCGAACAATTATTTTCAATTAGATCGTCATCACGCTTTACTCTAATATACATGAATATTTATACGAAAATGTTAAAATAATCAAGGCAATATGGGTCAATAATCACAATGAAATAGAATAGGTCATCACACGCAATAAGTAAAATTACAAGTTGATAGTAGGAAGACAAGTGTACTGATAGTAGTAAGAATAATAAAATACGATAACAAAAGTCTTATCAGTAGTTAAACGTTGGAAATAGAAGGTCAAACGTGGGTAAATAGACTTGGAATAGTCATCACAAAACATTAAAATCATTACGTGATAAGAAGTGTGTAAATAATTAGGTAGTGAAGAATACAAACGGCAAGAAGCGGAAAATTACAAATAAATACTAGATGTGAAAATAAGGCTAGTGATAACGAGAATAGAATAGAATAAATAGATAATAATGATTTTAAAAAAATCGTTAGTTAAGTTATAACTGGCCATGGAAGGGATAGGGGGGTTACGAATTTCTTATGCACACATAAATTGGGGTTATATGTACGAATTTCTATGGCTTCAGCTATATGTAGGAGGCGGGAACGAACTCCGTTGGGAAATGATGGAGGTATACGATAGATCACTCGAAATGATTTTTATTTATCTACAGCATGACCGCTATCGATGAGATGTGCCAAGATAGAACTGCGAATTGTTTTTATCTGGCCTTTTATGGACCAAGCTGGTAGATGTTCACTCATTCGTTGGTTAAGTTGCCTGGTAGTACGCCCGATATAGCTATCCACAGGAGCAGCCGAATTTGTAAATGCACATTAAGGAGGCCAGCTCAGGTAACCCATCCTTCGTTTGCGTAGACATCGCCAGTCGACAAGAGAAAGTCAACGCAAGATTGGCTGCGTAGAGTGTCCTGGTGATTACTTTAGTTAACCTATATTTCAGAGCATCACTAGCCACATCCCCGTTAAATTGTAGTTTCATTGTCTTCAACAATACTTATTATAGACAAATAGACGGGATAGCCATTGATTTATATTGCCGTTACATTGACGATACTTTCATTATCGTAGATCAAAACGCCAGTAAGAATAAACTCCTAGAACAATTAAAGTGTTCACCCAGCGATCAGTTTCACTGGTGAAAACGAGTATGACAAAAAGCTGAACTTCCTTAACGTCACACTAAGCAGACGAAGTGATGGCACATTAAGTAGAAGCGTGTGTAGAAGAAACCCGTCTGCTTGCCAATATACTCACTTCCGCAGTTTCACACCTATCCGTTACAAGAGAAATTTGGTTAGATGTCTCACTAGCAGAGCTAAAAGGATCTTCACAGTAGACACTCCAAGTCAGGATCTTGAATTCATCAACCACTCACTGACCGAGATCGGCTACCTCAGTGCTTTCATTAAGAAGTACATGTATGACATAATAAATAAGTTGGAGATTTCGGCTGTTCGTAAGAAACCTTTATGCATGAAACCACAATTTAACGGGGATGTGGCTAGTGATGCTCTGAAATATAGGTTAACTAAAGCAATCACCAGGACACTCTACGCAGCCAATCTTGCGTTGACTTTCTCTTGTCGACTGGCGATGTCTACGCAAACGAAGGATGGGTTACCTGAGCTGGCCTCCTTAATGTGCATTTACAAATTCGGCTGCTCCTGTGGATAGCTATATCGGGCGTACTACCAGGCAACTTAACCAACGAATGAGTGAACATCTACCAGCTTGGTCCATAAAAGGCCAGATAAAAACAATTCGCAGTTCTATCTTGGCACATCTCATCGATAGCGGTCATGCTGTAGATAAATAAAAATCATTTCGAGTGATCTATCGTATACCTCCATCATTTCCCAACGGAGTTCGTTCCCGCCTCCTACATATAGCTGAAGCCATAGAAATTCGTACATATAACCCCAATTTTGTGTACATAAGAAATTCGTAACCCCCTATCCCTTCCATGCCAGTTTAACTTAACTAACGATTTTTTTAAAATCATTATTATCTATTTTTCTATTCTATTCTCGTTATCACTAGCCTTATTTTCACATCTAGTATTTATTTGTAATTTTCCGCTTCTTGCCGTTTGTATTCTTCACTACCTAATTATTTACACACTTCTTATCACGTAATGATTTTAATGTTTTGTGATGACTATTCCAAGTCTATTTACCCACGTTTGACCTTCTATTTCCAACGTTTAACTACTGATAAGACTTTTGTTATCGTATTTTATTATTCTTACTACTATCAGTACACTTGTCTTCTACTATCAACTTGTAATTTTACTTATTGCGTGTGATGACCTATTCTATTTCATTGTGATTATTGACCCATATTGCCTTGATTATTTTAACATTTTCGTATAAATATTCATGTATATTAGAGTAAAGCGTGATGACGATCTAATTGAAAATAATTGTTCGCTTTTCTGTGTTGTTTTAATTTTCTCAATAGGAATCTTTAACACTGTTGAGCCAGTGCACGAAACTGACTTCCAGGACATCAAGAATTCTATTAACTGCTTGGTATCCTAATCTGATGCGTACTTAAGGTCATGCAGGTAGGCGTTTAATTAACGATAACACTAGTTTTCGTGAAAACACGGAAACAATTCATTGAGTTGCAAGGAGGTTATAGAGTTGAGCACGGATCTCGTAAATGTTTAGTTCGAATAATTTCAATCATTATAGATTTACAGCCCTGAAATCTCAGAAGACATGCAGAGAGTAAACTAGGTTATTAGGGGCAAATGTCAGTCAGTCAGCTACAACGTAGGTGCAAATTGGTAACCGAATTCGGGAACCACCCAAACCCAACAGACAACCAAACACCCGACCTTGTCGCAACAAAGGCGGAATGGTAACAAAATGTAATCATTAGGCAGACACAACAATGAAGTTAAGTGACTTCGAAAAGTAAAACTTGTAGTAATTTACTCACACACTGGTAAAACTCCCGGTAACGACCGCGCGACATAGCCGGTTGATCACGCCGATAAACCTTCCCAATTTGGTATCGCTTGATAGATTTTATCTTATGCATGGCAACATAACGGGCGAATGGGACCTTTACTGCATCATAAACAATAATTCTAACGTACGGTTAAATCATATCTAAGAGAAAGCGCCTCGCCGCCTTGATCCTGAAGATCGTATATGAGTTTAGATTCTTCGCCATACTTTCCAGCTAGCACTTCCTAATTCCTGTAAAACTCGAAACGTCTAAAGTTACCTTGAGCTCAAAAACAGGGGTGTCTATAGTAACCGCATCATGACGCTTGAAACACCGTATTATTGTACTAAAAACACCTTCAAGAATTGTCATTTGGAGGGGATCCCGATCTTTTGTTCCCTATTTCAATCAGAGGAATTTTCGGTATTACCTTTGGAACTTTTAAATTGTACTTCACTTCGCACTGTTTGATGGATGACTTGGCCATTTGCTCTGTGATTTTCTGCACCTAGCATTAAAATATAACTTCGATTTTAGGTACGAGAACCTGAAGAATAGACATTTTAACTGCACTACCAAGATAACCAATGTTTGTGCGCATTACTGATTGTCTTACAAAAATAAGCTAAACTCACTTTTGTCTCGTTTAGGATATTTACATCACCGGTAGGTAATTCAGGCATGGCATACGTAGCGCATCTAATAAATCGACCTCGCACTCAATTATAAGTTTGGTCTTCTCTGTCGCATTGGAAACTTCTCGAAACATTAAATTTGCCATTATATGCATCGATGAAAGGATTTATAGCCACTTGCTCAGGGATAGAAAACCAAGTCACCAAATAATTACTGAGTGGGTTTAAACAGATATTTGTTTCCGTTTCGGTTTGAATAGTTCAGATTCAGATTCAGATCTGCGTAGTAAGGACAGAAGGCCTAAGGCCTATGTTATTCCTTTTCCAGTATGCTTCTGTGAGTGTCCAATCTTCTCTTAAGAGAGTCAATTGAAGGTGCGGACACCACTGCTTCAGGCAGCAGGTTCCAACTATTGATGACTCGGTGTGAAAACCTGTATGCGACGGGTATTTTATTCGTTCTCGGCTTTTCTATTCGCCTGCTATGTCCTCTGAGGTGTCCTGATCTAGTGGGAAGAAAGAGAAAGAATAAGTTAGGTCCGAAATCATTTCTCAGTATTCTGTACATCAAAATTAGATCTCCCCTCAGTCTGCGATAGGACAGAGTAAATAGATCTAGCTTTTAAAGTCACTCTTTTTATGGTAAACCCTGGAGTTCCGGAATTGTACGAATAGCTGCCCTCTGTACTTTTTTAGGAATATCCGAGTCACCTTTTAAATAGGGGCTTGCAGCCTGAACGCAGTTCTCAATCTTAGTTCTCACTAATGTTGTGTATACTGTAGCGAACATGGTAGTATTTAACTCGGTGAATGTCCGTCTTAAAACCTGAAGGGTTCTAAGCCCTTTAGCTGCGACCTGCTGGCAATGGGCTGTGGTCTAAAGATTATGACCCACTGTCACTTCTAGATCCTTATGAGACCGGACTACGGGTAATGGCACTTCCCTTATGTTGTGCCTATTAACCTTTGAATCCCCAACGTGCATAACATTGGAGACTGTACTATACTTGGAAGGTCATTAACATACATTATAAAAATTAAAGGACCTAGGACGGAACCTTGAGGTACCCCACAAAGTACTGGTCTCCAGAGGGAGCACTTGGAATTTATTCTTACTTGCTGTCTACGACCTACTAGGAAATCCTTAATCCATTTTAATAGAGGTCCGGCAATTCCAATGTTTTACAACTTCAATAGGAGTCTGTTTGTTGGCACCTTGTCAAAAGCCTTACTGAAATCTATGTAGACAACATCCATTGAGTTTCTGCTGTCTAGTGCCTTTATCCAGAACTCCCTTGCTATGAGGAGGTTCGTTGTACAATATAGACCCTTCCTAAAATCATGTTGTTCTATATTTACCAAGTTGTTGGTTTCCATAAATGCCATTACGTTCCGTTGGACTATTCTTTCTAATATTTTAACTACAACACTGGTCAGGCTTACAGGTCTGTAGTTCGATGGAAGTTTTCTTGGTCCTGTTTTATGTATTAGGGCGACGATTGCGTCCTTCCAGTCCATAGGTAACATACCTTGTTCAAGTGACATACTGATATATTGTGCAGTATGTCTCAAGATTTTGGGGTGCAGTTCATCTGGTCCTGCTAACTTTTCCACGTTTAAGGTGCTAAGAGCCTTAAGCACATAGTCTTGATCGAAGTCCACGGTGAGCAGGTGGTTTGTTGACTGTTTGTTTTGGTTTGGTTCTTTGTCTAGAGGGGGTTCCTGAGTGTAAACTACCCCAAAATAGTTAGCCATAGCCTCTGCTTTTTCCTGATCTTCCTCTATCATTTCAGATTCACTTTCTACTTTAATTAGGTTGGGAGTCCAATGATGCATGCCTGTTCTGTAGTTTGTGTACGAGAATATTCTCTTGGGCTGCTTGAGTGCAGATTGTGCCAGATGCCTCCCATATTTCCTCTGAGCTTCCCAAACTTTTTTTATACACTTGTTTCTTACCGCCAAGGCGGATGGCGACCTCCCAACATTTCTTCTTTTGTCTTAGTAAACGTTGAATATCCCGGCCTATCCAGGGATGACCGTGCTTCTTCTTCTTTGGAACGGTCCAGGGTATGTATGGTTGAGTTACCCGGTTGTATAATTGCTTGAAAAGAGTCCATGCCTCTTGTACTGACGCTCTTGAGTCGATTTCTCAGTTTTCAGCCGATGCTGCGGAGTTAATTGCTTGCATATCTGCCTTCCATATGTTAGGATGGGCCGGCGCAACTGTTTGACAAGCAGTCTCAGCCGTGAATTAAGTGAGATGACTGCATGGTCAGTTCTCCCTAGTGGTGGGAGAAAATTCATTTGACCAACGTCATCACTGTGTGTGAAGACTAAATCTAATAGAGAAGAAGAGTTTCTTAAGTCATATCTTGTGGGGTTTTTAATGTGTTGGGATAAAGCTAATCCAATCGATGTTTCTAACAGTTTGCATTCGAACGACGTTGCCGATGACCCTACTTCTAAGTTAACGCAGTTTATATACGATGCATTAACGTCGCCTACTACAAGGCTTTTACCCTTGTTACACCAGGACTTAAGTTTACTTAGGAGAAAATCATCTGCTACACATTCCGGACTGCGATATATTACAACTAATTCAATATCTTGCCGTCAGCATTTCAACTTACATCTCGCCAGTTCACATGTCCCTGAAACATGTGCTACTGTCTCAGCTAATCTTATGGTTGGAGTACTTTTCGTATACAGGATAACCCCGCCTCCCCTACGGTTTAATATATCGGCCCTATTGGTTAAAAAACCACTCAACTGGATTTCACTTTCTAATACTTCTGACGTTAACCGAGTTTCCGAGTGAGCAATAACATCCTGTTTTTCTTTATCCACCATTGACCTAAGCTCCGTGTTATGACTGGTGTGACTGCAGGGTTTGATAAGCAGCGTTTATTGATCGATTCGGTGAGAGTGACACGGAAAACACGTAAGGGACGACCTAGTGCCCTGATTGGCCCTGCCCCGCTGTCTGTCCTAGCCCAGTTGAGTGGAGAACAAAAGTCACAGCCTCGGAGATATGAATCACTATATTTCAAACATACTTTGTTTATATACTAGTCAAGCATACCACAGCGTACCATAAAAATAGTAAACAACATTTACGCAATATGTAACGAATGAATAAATAATAGCCAATAGGGAATGTACATTTAAAGTCCAAGGACACCACTGGACTTAACATGATAATTATTGGTCTATTCTTCCGCATCCACAACACCTCCCCTTTTTTTTGAAGATCCGGAGTTGATATCCGGATTTTGAAATTTTCTGGGTTCATCCTCCCCCACGAAATAATGTTGGGTCCTCATATTCCCAAGTTAGAATTAATTTGACTTTATTTAACACATAATTGTCAGATTGAACAGGGGAGTCACTGAAAGTGATTAAATAGTGGGGAACAATGTCGCTTGATATGAGGTCACCAACGTTTGATTCTTCTGGAACATTGTCACGGGATTTGTTGAAAATCTCATTTGTAAACAGTTGATCACTGCGATAATCAACATCTATCAAAATTGTATTAGATTTCTGATCATCATTTAATGCATTTAACACATTTTCTGGTACAAAAAGATCTAGATAATAAGATTCGTCAGAATCTCCTGTTGTTGAATGATGAGGACCATTTGAAACAGCTGGATTCAGTGTACCGCACGATTTGTTCCCTGTTCCGTTGTGGGCGGGTACTGCAATTAATTTATGAGCATTTAATAAGAGATCCTCCTGTGAGCTGGGTACATCACTGTCTGTACACGTTTCAGGAACAGTGGGATTTGAACCCACGACAGGGAACGTTTCGGAATTTGACATTTCTGGACAACTGGGCGGACCATGAATAACTGTCTCGTTTACATCACTGGTCGTCCGGGATTCACAGAGGCTTTTATAAACAGCTTCATATGTTCTGCAGTTGTTTTCCAGCTCAGTCTGCAGATGAGAAATGAATTTACCAACTTCTGTTGCACCTCCGAAACATGGAACATTTACCAACAGTGTGCGTAAATTTTCTAAAAAATTTAACTGGCTATTTTTGAAGCACTGCTGTTGTTGCTCAAGTAGAAGCTGTAATCGATCGGAAAAGGTAGTCATTTTTTTTTCAGCACCTGCAATGAAAATTAACTGTAGGAATAATGACCAATGTTGCTCAAGGACGCTGGTGACAATCTGGATGCTGATTGGTCGAAACAATTAACCTGAATCTCGTCCAATTACAAGGTTCAAAATTTTTCTCCACCCCGTCGCCAATTGTTATGAATTTAAGTTGTGAGACTGCAGGGTTTGATAAGCAGCGTTTATTGATCGATTCGGTAGAGTGACACGGAAAACACGTAAGGACGACCTAGTGCCCTGATTGGCCCTGCCCCGCTGTCTGTCCTAGCCCAGTTGAGTGGAGAACAAAAGTCACAGCCTCGGAGATATGAATCACTATATTTCAAACATACTTTGTTTATATACTAGTCAAGCATACCACAGCGTACCATAAAAATAGTAAACAACATTTACGCAATATGTAACGAATGAATTAAATAATAGCCAATAGGGAATGTACATTTAAAGTCCAAGGACACCACTGGACTTAACATGATAATTATTGGTCTATTCTTCCGCATCCACAACACTCCGCCATTTTATTTAGTAGGCTGCGAGCATTTGTGTAGCATACCCTTAAGTCTGTGGAGAACTTTCCCTTACCAACCAGAGTGGTTTGGCGATCGTTTTGCTCCGAACGTTTACAATTTGAAAACCCTTAAGAACGAGGTTTCTTTCACCGTTTCGGCAACGCTCATTTATTTCCGCTTCTGCAGCTTGTCTCTTGATACGATCAGCTAGGCTGAGATCCTCACGGACGTATATTCCTGATCCAATCAGTTTACATGAGTTACCTAGAATCAGGTTCCTTTCTTCAACCGTGACAAGAAGCTTGATGGCCTGTATTAGTCCTGGCAACGATGGTCTCTCAGTTTATCCAAAAGCATTATGAAAGAGTCGACGGGTGGACCCCCAAGTACATTCTGAGGTAATGAATTCCACTCGTTGATTCTATGGGAATGTCGATAGTCAACTGACAAGTAATTTGTTCCGGGCTTGTGGACATTTTGAAGTATCCTCGTAAATTCTCTGTTTTCGAAACAGGAAAAATTAGGGCATATCAGGTGCAAGGTTATCACTAAGCAATTTGAAGTCTGTAGTCAACTCCACCCTAGGTCTTCGATATGACGACTGGGATAGTTTTAGCTTGG